GCTTCAAGGTCCGCAATTTGCGCCTCTCGTCTAGCCAATTCCACAGCCAAGTGCTTTATCCTCTGTTCATAGCCGATCTTCGTCTGTTGCAAATTTTGATTCAACAAAGCTATCTGAAACCAGTCAACCGATAATTCCTGGTAATTTTTTTCTCGCCTTTCATGAGACATTCATTCATATCATAACATCTAGACCAGCAAGCATTTCTTTGCTGCATTCACAAGACTACCTTCTGCAGCAAGCCACATTAAATCGAGTGTGGGCTATTTCGATTGGCTCTTCGACTGATCAGCCACCTGTCTAGGTGCTCATATATTCTTGCGTGTAACCATACCAACATTCAATCTAACTCACAGATGTCATTTTTGTTGCACTCAGAAGAGAAGTGATACTCAGAAGGTTTTTTCCGGACTTATCCATTAAAATTAGACCGGTTTATCCATCACAGCCGCTCCGGCCGCCAAAAAGCGTCACTCCTCAAAACGAATAAAATCCATATTTTGGAAACGCACGCAGAACAGGGCAAGCGAAATAAACATAAGAAGCAGGATGCGGACCTCTTGCAGATGTTGCTCGTTGATGTTGTGCTGGATGAGCAACATGTTCCGTAATTTCTCCAGCTCCGCACACACTTCCAAGTAAAGCGTCCGCCACCTGAGTTTAACATCCTGAGTAACTTAAAATTACTTTGACTCTGGCTCAACCAAAATGAAAACGATCAAAGGAACATCTAATCAGGTGAACTCAAGTAGGCTTCCTAGAATGTGCTGTGGGCAGACAGCTTGCTGTCATCTTATTCGCCAAATGAGTAGTTTTCATATCCTCCAGTTACAAGAACCAGGATTGACAAAGAAGCAGCCATTAAGGACGATAAAAACGATCACCGAGTAACTGCTGAGGAAGAAATATGTACCTATCGTCATGTTCAAATCCTTCTTCATCACTGGATGCTCCATCCAGCATACGTGATTCAATAATCTTCGTTAAATCCTCATATACTTGCACTAGGTTGAATCCCGTTTCGTCGACTTTCTAAAAAGAAAACACTCAGAATCATCGGAATCCTCATTTTGTTTTTAATTCGGAGAAACTAAAGTCTTGGCAGACCGCTACAGAGTGCGAAATTCAT